TCAAGGGATTGAAGCTGTGTCGTTAAGAGTAAATCTAAGGGACAGAACGTGCGACTGCGGGTTTTTTCAAGCTCTGAAGTATCCATGCTCTCATGTGATAGCAGCTTGTTCGCATACACGTCAAGACTATAACCATTTTGTGGATCCCGTATACCTACTATCTGAAGTTTTTAAGGTATACGAATTTGAGTTTCCCCCCATAGGTAATGAAAAAGACCCTGATAAGGTTCAAGATTGGCTTCCGATTGTACCAAATTCGAGTTTATTGAGGGAGCGTGGTCGTCCAAAATCCAATCGAATTCATTGCGATATTGATATTCGAGAAAGATCTAGACAAGACAGAAGATGTGGCCATTGTAGAAACCTAGGACACACTAGAAAAACATGTCCACTTCTGTTGTCATCAAGTAACAATTGATGAGGAAATGATGTATTTGTTTATCAAATAATAATTATTGTATTTTAATTTGCATTTACTTCAAGTTAATGTCATTCGATAATCACTGATGAAGATTAAAAAAACGAGAACAATCATTAAATTTTATCAAACTAATAACAATTTGGTATTTAAATACAACAAACTTACAATAAGAATTATATGGTAAATGATAACCAAATTACAATAACTGATATTAAATGGTAATAAACAAAATTAACTGAAATATATTAAAAAAAAGTCCAACAAATTTAACAAAATAAAGTAAGTATTAAATGAGAAATAATAAAAAATTACAATTAAACAAAATAAAGTAAATTCAAATATAATAAAAAAATCTATCGATGCTTGCATCACGAATGTGTTCCGCTGGGCGGTGGCTGTCGGTCTCGAGGAGGATTTCTTCGTGTCACTGGTTATGACTTCTCGCTGTCATCATCATCGTCGTCGTCGTCATCACCAGCGTCATCGTCGTCATCATCGTCCTGAGCAGGTATATTAGGTTGATGAGGAGCTGATGACGATGAATCACCTCTATAGAATAAGGACCCTGGAGGTGTATGACTGACTATCCCACCAGCATGCGAAAACTGGGAAAATTGGGAAAACCTAGACATCGCTGAGTATGAAAACTGTACAGGAGGTGTCTGTACTACGACCATGGGTGATGAGGCTGAACCCGCCAAATATCCAGCATTTGAACCCCAAGTCGGATCTACAAACATAGACCCATAATAGCCTCCAGGAGGGGTCATCTATGACGGTGGCGGGGGTCATAAAACTATGTGAAGGCGGCGACGGCGGGGTCATAAAACCATGTGAAGGCGGCGACGGTGATATCTGGTAATGGAAAGGCGATGGCGACATCATATATGGCTGCGGTAGCTGCTGAGAATGTCATGCTGGTGCAGCTGAGGATGAACCGGAAGCACCTGCTCTCCGTCCACGAGTCGGGGGACGATGGTGCTGTGTCGGTGAACGTCTCTGTCGACGTCGTAGAAAGGTCTGCCCTTGTGCATCCTCGGGAAGTAGAAACGGTTTCCCGTTACTGTTGAACCACTCATAATAATCCTCAACATACATCAAGAAGTTAGTAAAAATGGGCTCTCTACGTGGAAGGCGCCGATGTCGATCCTCCCACAACACGACCTACTCATGATGCCTCACTAGCCAATTTGTATCTGTCTTGTCGCGTCTATCTAAGCTATGCAACTCGTCCATATTGCGAGGTGCTTCCGGAATTGGTTGAAAACAACCAAACTGCCGGAGCACGCGATCAGTGGAGTGCCACTCGACGGTCGCATAACAGATCAGAGGGACCATCGTCATCCAAACATCTGATGGACCCCTCAACTTAGGTGGGATCACCGCCCTCACATCATCAGTAGAATATGACACCCATTCAAACTAAAACAAATAATATATAATTTTTATCAAAATAATAATCTAATTATATAACTATAATCTAAAATCGATTTTTAAACATTAAAATTCATACCTGTGTGTCAGCCTTCTGATTGATTAGCACCTTATTTTTTTTCTAAATCATCAGGTAGCTCCTGATGATTTTTCCTATCAATAGACCACCTATTCAAGGAAAAAAATTTGTTATACGCTGTATAAAATTATTAATATACAAAATCAGTTTTATAATTACCTCAGAAGTAGTGGAAATACGAATGAGTTATTCACAACAGGACATAAAAAGGGCAATCGATACCATGCCCAAGACTGCAGCAGCAGGAGACATTCGCCGATAGCATTACGTCTGTAGTTAGTGGCTCCACACATCTCCCTGTACAGCAAAGCCAAAACTACCGAGCCCCAACTGAATGATCCGACGAGAAGAAAGTCGCTAAGATGTCGCAACCACATGCAGTGAACTAGGTTGCACGATTTATCCGGCATCAGCAACCCTACTATCAATTGCAGTATGTATGCCCGTGTATACATCTTAACCTCATCATTAGAGGCGTCTGCGCTCAACTCCCAAAAATTGGCTTCTAACCAATTTAACGGTATCCTACCTCCGATAAAATTTTCCGAGACACGTCCTAGACTATCCTGACACAAAGTAGTCCAAGAACCGGAAGCTATCCCCGATATCACATCTCCATCCACCAGAAGCCCCAGGTGCGTAAAAACATCCTCAAGCGTGATCGTGCACTATCCGCACGAAAGATGGAATGTGTGGGTCTCCGGCCACCACCGCTCTACTAAGGCAGAAATCAGGTCTAGCTCTATCTTACAATGACCTTGATATCTACCTATGTAACCGAATCCAACCTCTACTAAATACGACAAGACACTGCTGGATATCACTAACTTAAGATTCCTAATAAAAGGATCTAATACACCGTTCTTCTCCTAAAAATAAATAATTACAAAAATTGATTCTTACTCTAATAATCATGCATTAAATAAATCAACTAATTATTACTAATAATTTAAATTAAATTAAAACGTTAAAATGTTATCGTATCAGCAAAGTGTCGATATATTTAATTCTTAATCTAATAATCATGCATTAAATAAATCAACTAATTATTACTAATAATTTAAATTAAATTAAAACGTGAAAATGTTACCGTATTAGCAAAGTGTCGAGATATTTAATTCTTAATCTAATAATCATGCATTAAATAAATCAACTAAATATTACTAATAATTTAAATTAAATTAAAACGTAAAAATGTTACCGTATCAGTAAAATATTACCGTATCGGTGATTTATTGAGAAAATTACCTTGAATTTGGATTGTTTGTAAATTAATCCTAAGTTTTAAAACATGACAACTATAGCACACCTTCTCTCTCTTTCTCACTCAATTTTCCCGGTTATATTGCCTCTTTCTTTTCTTTTTTCTCCACAACTGCTCCTACCCTCTACGGAAAACCATAGACCAAACAATTAAAGCTTAAAATACATAAATGGCCTTAATTATAAAGGGTTAATTTGTTGAATTTATCAAAAATTACATAATGATCGTTAAATTATTCATTATTTTTTAAATTCTTCATTTTCTGTTAAAAAATTAGAGATCGTCTAAAGTATACATTAACATATTGATTGAGATATTATAGTCGTTTAATATTATCTCAATTAATATGTTAACGTCTAGCTCAGACGGTCGTTAATTTATTAACAGAAAATAACAAGTTTAGAATATAATAAATAGTCGGACAATCATTCTGTAATATTTAATAGTCGAATGACTCAACAAAGTAACTTCGAATAAATTATTTTATAATTTTTAAAAATTGACAACAAAAATAATATAATATAATAAAAGACCATTTGTGTAATTTATCGTAAATGGAAAGCAATGAAGCAACGATCACTCGGGTTCCGCGCCGAACAAAATTATCAAAGCACAGAAGAAAATTCAACACTCTACTAACACCAGAAAAAAAACAGCCTTTTGATTTGAGGTTTGAACATCCATTACCAGTCTCTCTCGGCCAATGTCTACTTATTTGCTGCTCTTACTTACCTAACCATTAACACAAGTTTTGTTTTTTTAACAAAATCTGTGAAATTTAACCCATGTCGTCATTTCCTTGCTTGTACAAGTTGTTACATTGCTAGTTTGCTACACTTGGTAAGCTCCACTTTACAATTTAATCTTCTTGTTTTATTCTTCTTTGGGTTCCCGAGAAAATGCGTTGAAGGAAAAAGACTAGTCCTTTTTCTCTCTCGACATTTTATGCTCCAATTTGTTTGTGTTGTTTTTCCACACGTTCTTTTGGGTAATAATGTTGCATTTGGCCTTCTTTTTTGCTTTGATGTTGATGAAAAAAAAGTTTTTTGAAAGTAACTTATCTGAGCTCTGTGTTCAATTCAGAAGCTTTGTAATGGCAGCCTTGCAGACATTATTATTTTTTCTTTAGATAGATTGTATAAAGGAAACCGAATCTCAGAAAGGTTTTTCTTTTTGGTCTCTTCAGTCTCTTATTTCTTTTATTATTTAGAAAAATGGGTGAACTTTTCTTTGTTTCATAAGCTGCAGTAGATCCTGTTATTTTGAACTTTTCTTAGCTGAAAAGGAACTTTCCCAGAAAATATTTTCCTGAGAAACAAACGGGGTTAGTACTCAATAACTTGTTTTGGCACTGGATAGACAAAAGATTCGAGTGGCATTTGAAATCATTTTTTTTCATGTTATAAAATTTCAACTCCCACGCTTTTTTTTTTGCTTTTTTTTACATTTCATGTCCTCAATCCTCATTTCACGGCAACAATGGAGGAAGAAAGTTTGCTTGCTAGATTACAACAATAACCCTTTGTTTAGTGTTAAGAAACCATAAAGAAAAGGGTACTTTTATGTAAATTTGCCTTTTGCCATACCCTTTAGTTGTAGGGTCTCCTTGTGACTATCACAATGTCCCATGGACCATAAACAAAAGTAAGTTTTTTTGGTGGCATTGAATGCGGTAAAGATGAAGGGTAGCTATTGATGTCTGGTTAATTAGTGGATAGCTCATGCTATATTTTTGCCTTTGTGGTTTCATAAGGAGCACTTGCCATTCATATGAGCTCATTAAATTTTCTTTCCACCCTACGTTCACATTGAATTCTTCTGTATCGGCTCGTGACAATTTTCCGATTCGTTGCAGGCGTGGGGCAGGGAAGCATTGAAGTGGTTTTGGATAAATATAACTCACTTGTGTTATCTTTATCCTTTAACTTATTGTAGGGACAAGATTCTTTAAATTATGCAGACTCCGAAAGCAAGGTATCTTCTATTGCCTTTGTGGCTGCTCATTCTTCACTTGTTAGAAGTTTCTTAGTGAGTTTCGTCGATGTGTTTGTGCGGTTATTCTTGAAAATTAAGCAATGCATGTATATAATGCAAATACAGGGAAGATCTTTCCCGGAGTTCCTTTCTTTCGGATTTTTATCTAGTTGAGACTATTAAGGGCTGAATTGTCCGGTTACCGTCTTGAGGTGCAGTCTCTTTATTCATGAAAGTAAATCTTTTGTTGGTTTCCTACCTTAATGGAACTAGCAAATGCTGCAAGTGATTCATCCTTCCAAAAGTAAACTTGTGGTTTATCATCTGTTTGAGACCATTGCCTAATCTGTTCCGTTATGTAGTACATTCTCAGTAATCTGCTTATTTTAGGAGCAAGAAAGAGTAAAATTTACAGCTTTAGTAATTTTGTTTAGATTTAGGAAGGTGATAGGGTAAAAATATATAATTAAAGATGGGAATAAGGAAAGTTTTGGTTTAAGTAATGATTTTTAACCTTCTGTAAAAGGGTTGGTTGGCTCTGTGCTCTTAACTACTACAAATACAATGAGATCAATCGAACATTGCGAGGTCAAACTAAGGGATTCGTTCTGTTCTTGTATCCCGACTTCGACTCTAGGATAGTGCGTCTCACTTTTATGTTCAATGTGCACTAACGTTTTTTCATTAAAGGGATATAAGGAAAACCGGAGGCCTTTTAAATTTGTTCTCAAAGTCTTCGACTGTTATTGTGCTTTTTTCATCTGTACCAAATGAAATCACGTTGTAACCATTGTTTGGCAGAAGCGGATCCTCAGAAGTGCCACAAAGGGTCTCTCATCGAGCTGTTCGTCAACTCAAACCAACCACAATAGAGACTGGAGCTGTATCTAGTCCCAAGTCTACTAGTAGAACTTCAAAAGAGAAGAGCCCTAAAGTTGTTGATCGTCGTTCACCTAGAAGCCCAGCCTCTGAGGTAGGCAAAGTAGAGAACATTATACAGATTTTGGACACTGCTGAACATTAGAAAGCTTTTGATAAGTGTTTATTAAAGCCATTTTCTCTTCTCTTATTTTTTATAGAAGCATGTCAATCGGTAACTTCATTGTCATTCGAATGATGATGGGTTTCTCTTTCACCGTTAAATGTCGATCCATTGTGAAGAAAACTAGTGGTTCATCGATATCTTGCAGAGTTAATTTTCTAAGCATCTATTAGGGATTTAGGGTGATGGTTAGGATGGATGAGATAGCTAAGGAAAAGGATTTTATAATTCCTTATAGAGTGTTTCTTTCCGATTTGCTTGTGGATGAGATGCGCATTAGCGTCCGATAGACATTACTGTTTTGGATTAACTGATCTTATTGTCTGTTCTTTCTTCAGAAGAAGCGCCCGAGCAGAATATCTGAATTGGAAGCACAGAATTCACAGCTTCAAGAAGAACTAAAGAAGGCAAAGGATCAACTAAATTCATCTGAATCAACCAGGAAGCAAGTTGAGCTGTCTGCAAAGGTCGAGGATTCTGAAGTCCGCAAGGTCTCACAAGAACGGGATCAAGCATGGCAGTCAGAGCTTGAAGCTATACAGAGGCAGCAGTCTCTTGACTCAGCAGCTTTGGTCTCGGCCGTGAATGAGATTCAACGACTTAAGGATCAGCTTGAAATGGTGGCTGAATCCGAGGCTGCACAGACCAAGCGAGCAGAATCAGCACAATCGGAGCTTCAGAGCTTGAAAGAAAACCTGGTCGAAACTCAATCTCTTGTAGAGGACATGAAAAAACAGCTTAAGGATAGCCAAGAATCGGAAGCTCGGGCCCAATCATTGGCGAATGAAACTCAGATACAACTAGAAGCTGCAAAAGAAACTGTTGAAGCACTTAGGTCGGAAGGCATGAAAGCCGTTGAAGCTTACAACTCCATTGCTTTTGAATTGGACCAGTCAAGGAAACGTGTTTATTCACTTGAAGGACTTGTTAACAAACTGAAGGCAGGCATGACTGATGCTGGTGGCAGTCTCTTTATTGAGTCTGATGGTAACTGTATTGCTGTTGATCATCAAGCTGGAGAAAGCAAGAAACCCGAGGAATCTCGCCAGCTTGAAGCAGAGATTTCTTTAAAGTCTGAGGTGGCACGTTTAAGATCTGCTCTTGAAACTGCTGAGACTAAATGCCATGCAGAAGAAACCCAAGGCACCATAAAGATAAACAGTGCTCATGAACTGGTTGAGCAGATAAAATCTGAAGCAAACTCGAGAGAGGCCGAGCTGTTAGCTGAACTGGAGAAGGCAAACATTGTTATTACTGACTTGAAGGCAAATATGATGGATAAGGAAACTGAGTTGCAGTGCATCTCAGAGGAAAATGATGAGCTTCGCATGAAACTTGCACAAAACCTGTCACGCCAACAAGAATCCGAACTTGAAAAAGAGCTGAAATTATTGAACGAAGCTATTGTTGATCTGAAGGCAAATATGATGGATAAGGAGACTGAGCTTCAAAATATATCAGAGGAGAATGAGATGCTCAGGTTGGAAATCAGTAAAAGGGACATGGACAAAGGTAAAACAAATGAGCTAGACGAGGCAAGGGCTGCCGAGCGAGAAGCTATTATGAAGCTTGGACTTGCAATGGAGGAGGCTGATAAGAATAACAGGAGAGCTGCCAGAGTGGTTGAACAGCTTGAGGATGCTCAGACTGCCAATTCTGAGATGGAAGCAGAGCTGAGAAGGTTAAAGGTGCAATCTGACCAGTGGCGCAAGGCCGCAGAAGCAGCTGCTACAATGCTTTCGGCAGGCAATAACGGGAAGTTCATGGAGAGAACTGGTTCATTGGATAGCAATTATAATCCTGTTAAGGGCAGGGTTGGCTTACCTTATACCGAAGATTCAGATGATGAGTTGCTGAAGAAGAAAAATGGGAACATGCTGAAGAAGATTGGGGTTTTGTGGAAGAGGCCACCGAAATAGGCCACCATGAGGCATGCCAAATATACCTTTTTATCAAAATTGCATTGGTTCCATGTTTTCCTATCTCTTATTTTTTTTCTCTAACTTCTCACCTTATTTGGACAGATTTCGAGTACTCGAACAAAACAGTCTCGCCATGAAGTTTGCAGTTACGTCATGACGATGTCTGAATAGCGGGTACACGATGTTTTCTTTTCCTTTTATGTGGATATGTAAAATCTGAGTGCCATGGCCTTACCTTGTGCTTATAGGATCAAACATTTTCTCTATTCACAGTGCAAGTTTGGATTGGATTCCATGGTTTTTCTGTTAAGCTGTCTGCAAAAGTATGATGATCACTTCACCAGCAGCTATGTGTGAGCATGAACTATCTATCGTATGTTTTACGTTCCATTCGCCTCCCACGGAATGAGGTGAATGATTTTCAGTAAGGCAGTGTCATGACTCATTAATCGGACTCGGGTGCGTTGAATATGAATTTAAATACAAGCATTTATTATTCGATTTTAACTAATCGATCGATTTAAAATTTAATTCAGTCAATCAATCAGATAATTAAATATTAGATCAATTAACGGTTAATATTTTTTTCAAAATTCAATTATCGGTTAAAATCTGAACTAAATTAATTAAAAATATTACATGTATATATCTATTAGTTCAAACCATTGAGAATAAGGATCGAACTATTTGTAATCACCCAATCAAATTTTAACCCAAATGAAAGAAAAAACATATCTACTAAACTCAAAATTAGTCTAACTAAAAAATTATAACAAATACCAATTAATTCAAAAACCAACCAAATCAATCAAACTTCATTCAGTGAATAATTTTAAAAAATATTCGATTCGGTTAACTGTTAGGAAAATATCCGATTAATTAAATTTTGATTTATTAAAGTTTTTCCATGAAAGCCCGTGTGAATCAAACTTTTCTTGCTTAGGATTGCATATGCAGGCGTCTCTGGTGTAAGAATTAAGAACATTGCAGAGCATTGTTTACCTGTTGAACTTCATTGAAGATAAATGTAAGAATTAAAAATTAGTTATAAGAGTCAAAGACACTGGTGACTTCCATTTGGACAAAAAAAGAAAAATGAAACGTTGGCGCCACTGCACCACGTTTTCTATAATATATTGCTAATCACTTTTAATTGTACTGGAAATACCGTCTATTGCAATGGTATTCATATCCTATTTTTATATCATGTTCATAATTGTCTACATCTATATGAAAACAAAAATCTGAGCAAAAAAAAAAAAACTCATTTTAAAAGGAAACGAATCAATCACTCCTTGTTTGGTAAAAGAAAGGAACTTACGGTTGGTTAAGTACATAATGCCATATAGCGAAATTGGTATTTGTCGGCATTCATTCATGCAATGCAGCGGCTATCAATCGACGTCTCTCATTGCCAAAAATTCCACCTAACATAATGAGCGGCAAATCTGCAATTCATAGATAGAATTCTGCATTAGCATTGTCAATCAAGTGAATATCCATATGAGTGTCTAAATAAATAAATTAACTATTGGTATTACTTTGTAAAGTTCTCTATAACATAAACAAGAAAAATGTTCCAATGATTTCAAGCAGAACCTAAAGGGAAAAGAGGAAAAGATTAACAACTAGCAACAGCTACCATATTTGTCAAGTAATCAAGAGAACTGGGAAGAAACAGGCCGGCAGGGAGGAGGTAAATCCAAGACCAATAGTAGGGTAAACAACCTGGATTTTGCTCATTGATGACAGTGAAACTAGGAATCATTCCGAAAATGAAGAAACAAACCATCCCAATAGGGAAGTGGTCCAAAAGTATAGTTTGACCTATAGTTTGACGAGTTCCCTTATGTTTCCCTCCCCAGTTTGCATATTATATATATATATATATATAACCAGGTAAATCCCAAGTGATTGTGAGCAAAAATAACCTTAAATTTGAACTACCATTATGCCCATCAAATTATAACAAAAACAGAGACAACAGGTTAGCATGTATTAGCCATCAGAAAAAGAATATAAGTGTCTCTGATAATAAGCGTCATATTCTTGGAGTTCAAACAGCAATCTTCCACTAGGCCATCCCTTGAAGGATAACGATAAGATAATCACCATTTATCCTAAAAATCATACATTTATATTGAACCGTGAAATATCAAGCATCCACCATTACACAAAACAGCTCCAGCTTCTAACATTCAAGCAAGAAGCAAAAGGAGCAGGGAAAATTTTCAAAACTCTTGTGCCTTGTGTCTTTTATTATAGACACCACAAACTTTAAACGATGATTCTTATTATAACAATGCAGACAATAGACAATGCAGACAAAATATTAAATGATAATGATCTAGCAACATTCTGCCACAAAATCATTGTAAAGAAAATGAAGCCTGTCATCAATCTAACCATCGGTATTTGTTCAAATATTGAAAACTTACCATGACTCAAAATGTGTTCATAACATGGTAGTATCCACTGGATAGCTCCCTAGAACTCGCAAGAAAGTTGCAAATTCCTGCCAAGGGAACATTCTGTTAAATATGTAACAACTTTGTTTAAAGGAGAAGAGGAAGGGTTTATCCAAGGTTTGAATACTAGACTCAGTGCCAACTGTAGAATTGCAACATATTGATAGATATTTAACAACTAATTCTTTTCAGTGGTTATGGAAGAGGCAGATCAATATACCATTAGATGTCTAAGGGCATTCTGTGCTCTCTCTTCAGCCATGGATGCTTCGAAGTCCACGTAGAAAAGGTAGTCAAAATATCTAATAGAACAAATTGACACAATTAGGATGAAATCTGTTCAAGCCACCCACCAAGTGGTTGGTAGCAAGCTGTAAATAAAGATGTATATAATTTATCAAAATTAGAAAAGCCATTTGAACCAAAAAGGCAATATTTTACTAAAATTACTTTGAACCATTGTTGCTATCATCAGATGCTCTCAAAGGCTGGTTCCTCAAGGGACGGCTTTCAATCTGCTCAAAGGTAACAAATAAATAAAGGATTTTAATACAACCTAGGAAAGAAAACCTTTCAAATGAATTTTTTTCAAGGCAACTTAAAAATATAGAGAGAATTTATATATATATATATATATATATTTTAAAAACTACCTTTGTAAGGTTGATCTGCCTAAGAGCAAAAACAGCAAGTGCCTTGAAAAGAACACCAGGACCCTCCTCTAGTGAGAAAACTATACTAGTCTGCAAATTAATTGCATTAGCAGAAAACTTCATGAGCAATAATGATTCATAAATGCCGCATAGAAAAGGAACAACAATGATCCAGTACTTTGAATGCAAATGGTAATGTTGTTTGGAGGCTAACCTTGAATGGCTTCTCCACACCAGGAATAATGGGATCCCTAGCCAGCATGAGAAATCGAGTAACATTATCACAATCATCCTATCAAAAAGGGGAGGCATACCAGATTTCAAAGTTCTGACAAATCCAACACAAAACAACTAAGAACAATTATAACCGAAATAAACCTGAATATCTTCAGCAAGAATGTTTAGTCCATATATCTTTGCAGCTTTAGAACTTGCAACAGCTCCCGTATCTTTTAGTTTCTCAAAAGCCACATGCTGTGCATGTAAACAATCATTAAACCAGTCATAATTAGAAAGTAGTCATCATCTAATAGTGGCAATTAATTCCAAAAGGCAATCATTTAATCCAATTCCATTCTTTGCTATACCCAAACAAGAAAATAAATGTATTCGATCAATTTTGGATCACCAAGGAAGCCACCTGAAGTGAAGCAGATAAAGCAGTTCCTGCCTACCAACCTCCTATATGCTATCTTAGACAGTCAAAGAACTTAATACACTTGACTTGGAACATTCAGCTACAAAGCTTACATAATCTTTCATGTCATGGTAATTTCAGTTCTCAAATCAAGACTTGCCTTTGCTGCAAGGGCAGTATCATCAACTGCTTCCCTACTCAATCCTATCTTTGTTAACGTGTACTCACACTGAGCTAGAGCCTGGAACATGATCAAGATAAAAAACATTAATATTAAAAACAAGAAGAAACTTAGTCAGCAAGAAGGTTAAATCTTACTTCATACCTGAGGATGACTTAGAACCCTTTTCAAGTCCTCAACTCTAACACCATGATTGGCCAGTAAGCAATGACGGACTGCGAGCTTAACTTCCCCAACAATGTGCAAGCTATGGCGAAGCAAGAGGTCATAATTCCGATGAATACTACCACCCAAGGAATTCTCTATCGGTAATACTGCTCTATCCACTAACCACTTTCAACAGCCTAATTAAAAACAATAATCAAAATCAGTTCCTAATGAAGACTAAGCAAATATGTTTTCAAATTCAAGATGAGCCTCATTTTCAAACATGAAAACTAAATATTTATCAATGAGAAGAGAAAAAAAAGAAAAAAGAGTTCAAGTAATTACTTCGAAAGCAGCATCAAATTGATCACAGGGAACGGGTTCACAATTCAGATAGGCCTTCTCAGCAGCTGCTTCGCTGTAGGCACCGTGAACTCCCTTTCAAAATTCAACATAAATTAAACAAACAAGTTCATTGAAATATAATCACATTTTATAATTCTAAAATATAACATTGTCCCGATCTGCAAGTTAAAAAATAATTATATATAAATAATTGTCATAGTTAAGTAAACACCTGATATGCAACGCGAAGGCGAGGGCCATCATAGATTGTATTAGATAACTGAGCTGAAGTAAGAGGTCCTGGAGAAAATAAAGCTAAATGCCAATTTCAAAAAAAATACAAACACTAAAAAGTAAAACGAAAAAACGGAGATTTTCATACTGGGATGCAAAGGAGAGTCTTTTGAAACAACGTCGTACGGGGAATCCACGAAAAGCTTCTCCAATCCAATAGCCTTCGTGATCTTATTGCTTCCGTCGTTGATGTTGTTGCCGTCGTGGAGGGAAGCGAAAAGAACAGTGAAACGACGGCGGTTCAAGGAAAACTGGGGAATTTGAAAGGGAGACGATGTTTTCTGATCGGATACTGTCCCTTTTTGGGAGAGTTGGA